TTGTATATGTGTGTCTGTATGTGCATACGGGTACAGTGCCCAAGGAGTCCAGAATAGGTCATCCTATACTGGAGCCGGAGTTAGAAGAGGTTGTGAGTCACTGAAATGGGTGCCGGAACCTGACCTTTGGTCCTCTGCAAAAGAAGCAGGTACTCTTAACTGAGCCATCTCTGCAAACCCCAATTTGACAAAATTTAGCTGCTACAAACTCTGCATTTTCTTTTCCCATATTTCTCTTGTCTGGCTTCCTTTTACATATTTTATTATATGAACTATTTGTAAAATCTTTTCTTCATCATTAGTAATTTCCAAGTGTTTTTTTTTTTTTTCCTCCAAGAGACTTAAAAAAAACAAGTGATTTATTTCATCAAACAGTCAAGCTGCCTGACATGGTGGCTCAGACCTGTAATCACATTTGGGAGCATAAGGCAGGAAAGTGTGAGTGTATTGAAGCCAGCCAGGATTACAGAGTGAAAGGCATTCTATTTCAATAAACCAACCCCCCCCCCCCCCCCCCCCCCCCAAAAAAAAAAAACCTTTAAAAAAAAAAAAAAAAAATTAAACACCTGTGTGTAAACATAGCAGTTAGAAGTCTGAGGCAGGAGGATCTCAAATTCTAGGCTAGCCTGGGCTACAGAGTGATACCTTGTCTCAAAAAAAATAATTTAGAAAATCAGGTGTCTCATTCTACATTAAAGACAAAAAACATGTTTCCTTCCTTATGTTTCTCGCATTTTAACAGTTTTGTAATTTAAACTGAGCACTTTACATGGATTTCATTGTTCTCTTCCCTCTTTCATATTTATGCACTGCTCTCCCTAGACACGTATTTTTAAAACTAGGGAGAATAAATTCCCCAATCCAAGTAAATCCAGACCTAAGTATAGTGAACCTTAGCCCAGGAGAGGGTGGTGCAACCAATGAGAGTGGGCAAAGACTTTCCCTTCAGAGATGCAATGGCAAACTGATGGACAGATGACTTCTCAACAGGAATTATGAGAGCCAGAAGACAATCCAGTAACTTTCCATCGTGCTAAGCAAACAACTGCCAATAAAATACCACAGGGAACAAAATTTTTCTTCAAAATCTAACCTTTTAGGGGCTACGGAGATAGGTAGGTCAGTGGAGAAAGGTTTGCTGCCCAGACTCAGGACCTGAGTTTGATCCTCGGACGCACATAAAAAGCTGGGCATGGTGGCACATACTTCCAGTGCTTGAGACAGATGTGCAGAGACCCAAGGCTTGCTGGTCACCCAGTCTACTCAGCGAGATCTAGGCCAATAAGTGATCGTGTCTCAAAGATACCGCTGTGCTCTCTGCCAGAGTCAATGTGCTGTAGTTTTTGAAGAACATCTTTTCTTTTAGTATAATTGTTTGAATGTGACTACTTGATCCATAAAGACCTCCTGCAGTCTGTTTATGTTTTCTGTGCTTGGGGACTTCATTGTGTGGTGGGTACTAGTTATGGGAACATTGTTGCTGTCATCTGGAGTGCAGTACAGTTTTGGTTTAGAGGAGCCAGCATTACATATAGTTGATTTAAATACTCCAGAGAATCATAAACTGAAATTTGGTCCACATAAGGACTGATTTTTTTCAAAGGTGGTCCTTTGGAGTCTGGCACACAACTCGTGGGGGTACCTCACTTTTTTTTCCTGTTCCAAGTGTCTACCAAAGACCCATTTCTTATTTTCTAAGTCTCGTTAGCCTCCTGTAAAAATAGACAGCTGCTTGGGTAGAAAGCATCACCAAATGCCAGGCTTATCTCTGAGAGTCATGCCTTTCAAAAAGATATATTAATTATTTTTAATTATGTATATGTGTTTGGGCATGTGCATTTGAGATGAGTATGGGTGCCTGTGGAGAGCAGAAGAGGGCACCAGCTATCTCCTGGAGCTGAAGTTATAGATAATTGTGAGCAATCTGATATGGGTGCTGTGGACCTGAACTAATGTCATCTGCAGAAACAATACGCTCTCAACTGCTAAGCCATCTCTCCTGCCCCACATTCATAACGTTTTGACCTATGGCAGCAGAGAGCTCAAATACTTAAGTTAAAAACATATCTTGTCCTGTTTTTCTACTTGTTTTCAGTGGAAAGGTTAGGGCAAGGTAAATTATAGTCTGCTGATACTGCATGTGTCTGCCACTGGGGAAGGGACCTTTAGTCAGTCGAACTCACTGTAGAATTTTGTACAAGGTGGAAATCTAGCCTATAGACAGTCATCCCAGTTGATATGAAATGCTGTTTTTCTAAATACTCACATATGCCATGTGCTAGAAATCTACACATACATTAAGTTTCTATCTAAATTTCATACTAAGGATAATGAACAATAATGATCAATCTAATGTTGAGAAATCAACACAATCACAGACCTTCCCATAATAGATGCCAGGGTATCTGACTGAGCTTGGGCCTCTTCCTTCAAGACGACATGTGCATCATCTACCTCCCCTTTAACTTCCCCCCTTCTCTGCTCTCTTTGGAGGTCATTAACGATACTTTTTGAGCCCACTTGAGCAGTCCAGAGTAATTCTGCCCCCTCTCAAATTCCTCCACTTAATCGAATTCACAAACCTTTAAACATTGATGACATTTTTACAAGTTACACGAATTAGCACGTACTCACTGCCAAATGCACAGCCAGCTTGTGCTCAAACGCCTGATGCTCTCTCTCCACTAAGCCCTGCTTATGCGCTGGGTTATTTCCCTAGTTGTTGGAACTCCGGCACGTGGGTCTGTTTTTTTTTTTTTTTTTCATTACTGTAACAAAATATTTGAGGCAGACTAACTTTATAGAGAAGAGAAGGTATTTCATATTTCTAGAGATTTAATTTCAAGTTGCTCACTGCTTGCTTTGGTGTGGCTATGGGGAGTTCCTCCTGGGGCATGGTAGACGGTGGCACAATGACAAAGACTTTTGGGTGGCATCCAGACATCAGTGAGAGAATAGGTTCCACAACTCCTTCTGAGGACACTCCTCTCCCTAGGCACTGCCCCACTAAGGATGCCATCAGCCTCACCGTGTCATGCTGGGGATCAAGAAGCCAATATGGATCTTGGATGGACACTCTTAAACCATAGTCACACCACACCAATGTGTGCCACACGGTGCACTTGGCATCGAGTCATTTTTATCTATCGTTTCCTCCTTTTCTAATTTTTATTCCCTTCTATTTTAATGTTTTGGGATTCTACATCTTCCATCCAACACACTCTCACATAGCCAGGTTGGCTCATTGCATCCCCGTGACACTCATCAGAACCTCCCATGTTCCCAGCAAGTGAGTAGTTAGTGTGAGAAGAGTCAGAACTTGGAGCAGTTCAAAGATCCAGCAGGAACAACTCACAGATAGATTTCTACGAATTTATTGGGGAGCCAGTAATACTCGGCTTCTGTCTTTTTGTTTGGCAGCCACTGATCAGTATTTCCTGGGACAACTAAATAATTAGTGGTTGAAAACTGGGGGCATTCTGTGTCATTTTTTTTTTTCATTTTCATTATGATCTGGATATGTCTACCAATAGAGACATGGGTGTTTTGTTATAATCCTCTATCTATGGTTAAGAAAGAAACTCAAGTTTATCAGAGTGGTCTCTCATTTGAGCCCAGAGCTTTGAGACCAGCACAAGCAGTCCTGCAGTAGTGGGCCAGATTCCTGCCTTTTTCCATGAATTAAAAACCGTATATTTACACCAAAAGTCATCAGCAACTTCCAAGATGCCACTAAGTCCTCTAACATGATACCTGCTCTTGTCTGTCCTTTACAATTCTATGAATGTACAGCTCTGGAAGACCCAACATCCTTCTCTGAAGTACATTTTTGTCACTCTGACCATGTGGCAAAAACACAAGAGACAATGAAGCAGCCGGTCTCTATCTACTCCATCCGTGGTACCTTTCCATGCTCACGGACGTCATCTAATCTTGTCCTCAGAGTGCAGATGAACAGAGAGGAGACAAACTCTGAGACATGCTCTAAACATGGATCTAAACATCTGCTTCTGCTAATGGGGGACTGTCACCACACAAGTTTTCCTTAGTAGACCAGATAGGGTTAGAGTCATCCCATCTGGTACCTAGTCCGAGTAAAGTTGGTTAGATGGTGGGGTCTCCTCTCTACTTTTCTGGCCAAGACTGTGCCTGTCCCTTATCCTTCTAGGAGGCAGTGGAGCTACTTCAGGAGATGGAGAACTGTCAGGAGCACCTTCCACAGCATCTTCCTCTCACTGAGCTTGTTCCCCACTCGGGATTCATTCCCAGCAACTGCACTTGTCTGACTTACCCGAGAAGGGTCCCCCATCTCTTTGTAGACAATTTACTGCGACATCTCCCTTCTTCCATCTGTCACCTAATTGGTTAGTTAGGACTAATTTCAGGAGGACTGTGTCCTGTGTGATGCTATAGGCTGTCACATGTTAGAGAAGTAGCAGATGACCCTCTCCTTGGGGAACATTCCTGTTGGGTTGCTTGGCTATACGAACCCACAGGAAACACCGAGGAATCTGCAGGATGACGTATGTTTGTGTAACTGAAGCCAAAATTTAGCAAGAGGAGTTCAGTTGAAAATAAGGGGGGGGGGGGGCGAAGCCTTCGAGGCTACATGTAGTGAATGAGCTCAAATCCGAAACACAACACGATGAGTGCAAGCTTGCTTCAGTGGAGAAGTGAGGTTTGATGCTGGAGCAGAGGGAAAATAATGCAAAACCAGAAGAGACAAGCTGGGCTGATCCACCTGAGGGTTTCCTGATTTTATTTGGATGGAAACATGAGAACCCTACTCAAGGGAGCTTTGTCAAACAATCCATACATTCCTAAATATGTGATTGACAGCGCTCATCACCCAAAGATCTTATTTTCTTATGAAGAAGCTCACCTGGCATAATCACTCTTCATAATTATTTCACTGAGTCTATCGTGACTGGGAGTTGCTTTGAGCAGTTCCGTATTCAGATGGGCTAAGTGGTTCAGCCACTCTGCCCCATGTTACTCACCTCGGTTCCGATGACAATTTCTTCCCTGGTCGAGTAGAACATAAACTCATAGAGCCTGTAGTGCTGGAATAAGCTGCAACACAGAACAAACATGGAACAAGCGTGAGAGAAGAGAAAAATACCTGAAGGTGTGGCTCACAGGAAACGGGGATTGGCCAAGCCAGAGGTAGTCAACAGAGGTACAGAAATCCATCTCCTTCGTTCCGAAGTAAGCTGCCCGGGAATGCTGGGGGGTTCGAGGTTTGCCTTTCTTAGACACTGACGGGACAGCACAGGTTTTAGGAAAGTGTCAGCAGGTCCGTCTGTGACATGAGGGGTCGTGGGGTGGGTGCTCTAGGGTAGAGAAGCAAGAGTGTGTTTCCTAGTTTGAAATGTAGCTACTACCCCCCCCCCCAAAACACACACACACACACACACACACACACACACACACACACACACAAAGTCAGCTGCACAGTCTCCACATCAGTTGTGCTTTGCTTTAGATCTTACTCAATCCTGGTCTGAATGAGGCTGGATTTCTATATCTATTATGCCACGGATTGCCAAAACGTTTCGAGATTTAATCGATCTCTGGAAACCCCAGAAAAACGACTTGGCAAGGTCTAAAATTTGTTTTTAAAATGTCCGACTTTCCTGCAGAATGTGTGGTCACACATCAAAGGCTGGCATATGTTTATTCAGATCATTTTCTTCTCACCTGAAAACTAGGTGGTCAGTGACCATGGACTACAAGAGCTCCGAGTCACAAACTCTTGCAAAGAAATATTTCTAGGAAGTTAAGAGCTTGGCGATGTATCTTTGAGAGTTAAAAATGTTACTGAAGGGTTGACTTCTAATATCCTGTTTGTGATAATATTTGAATTTTTCTAATTCTCTTCCTGCTGGTTGGGAAAATTAATAGACTCATAATACAGCAAAACGCCCGAGAACAAAAAAAAAAAAAAAAAATGTCTTCGTGGTTCTCTTTCACTCTGGTGCCTTCTGCTATTTAAGAAAATTGATTTTAATATAACTGAGAAATTAACATTTGCAAGAATGTAGCTACAGAGCATGGGTAATAATGGCTTCTCCTGGATGCTGTAATGGATCAAAGTTTCAATTCATTTGAAATCAATGAAGAAATCCTCAGGCAGCTGGGCCCCTCTGAGTTACATTAGCAGTGGGGCTCTGTAGGAGTTCAATCCATTAAAGAGGGGTGGCTGTGTGGGCCCAGGCAAGTTTCCTTTCTTCTCTGCAGCCATTGAATACTTGATTTACTCATCAACATTCACAAGACTAACTTAGCTTTTGACATTGCTTTGATCTGTTGGCTAGAAAAACACACGAAGATTAGTGAAGTCTGATAAGTCACCGAAGCAAAAATAAAGTCAGCTTCCCCCTCCTTTATATTGGTGACCTAGAGAGAACTATAGGGTCAAAAATATCACACTGACAATAACCGATTTTGGCGTACAGAAAAAAATCAAAGGCCATATTTGGGAACCAGCTTGCGATCCTGTAAATGAACTAGAGAAAAAAAAAAAAATCCTACTTTGTCCATCTTGTGCTTGACACGGAACATAGGGTAAAATGTTTCCACTCTGCAACGTCATAATCTTTCAGTCTCTATGTCCTTGTTATACAGAGGGATAGGGCTGTCCTATGTCTGCCAAGAGGGAACTTAAGCAGTGAAGACAGTAGCCGTGACTTGGATAGGATGGTCAATTGGACCATGACCAGGATGTGTACCCAGGGGAAGATGCCTAAGGGGACACTTCCTGAGGGACGGGCCAAGTTCCCTCCCTGTCTCTCTGCACCCTCCAGCTTTTCCAGGGGGCTAGTAGGTGCCTCACCTGGACATCAAGTGACAGTTCAGCCATGGAAATGCATTTTCTATCTCTTCCATTGGACTTCTGTCTGACTCAAGCTTCTAACTTTTGGGTTAGACCTCGAAACAAGGATGGAATAAAAATGGTCTGAGCTGTCTGGCCAAGTATCACACATTGTTTGGCACAAAATGGGAGTGAGGCTAATTTTCTTACAGTGGGATATGTGTGGTTCTCAGGGAAGAAGAGTATTCAGTGAAAAGAGGGTAAACAACAACTGCATTTATTAGAGTATGCAATATATATATATATATATATATATATTGCATAAGCACATAGCTCTCCCCTGCCAACCCCTGTGTGTGTGTGTGTGTGTGTGTGTGTGTGTGTGTGTGTGTGTGTGTGTGTGTGCCTGCTCAGATTGCATCAGCAGACAGCAGTAGTACCCCATACTCATGTGGAAAAAGAAATTTGGTTGTAGTGTTTCCAGAGATAGACCATTTAGACTAAAGTGAAAGTATTTGAAGAAATGTAATTTTATTGACAAGCTAAGTTTCCTACTGTGTGACAATTTCCTCCTTTAAACTGCCACATCCCCTCCTAGAAGGAGAGTTTTACAAGACTTAGGCCGACAATAAGACTTACAAGGCTGAGGAGATCCTGAAACCAAGGGCTCAAGAACCCCAGAAAATGATGAGATTCGGAGGGCCCCCTCCAGTGTTGTATAAGCAACAAGCAATCGCTGGAGAGGGCAGCATCACTGATAAAGCCATCTGTCATGTTCTGGAGGGAGCTCAAAGGATGTGACTTCCATGATGTCAGTGGTGCTGGGGGTGGGGGTGGGGTTCAGCTGTCTTTGAGTCTCCCATGCTCCCAGAAGCAGTTCTCATAGACTCATTATTTCACTAAGCTAGACTGGGCAGAATTATTTCTTTGGTCTGTCTGTCTGTCCTCTGGGGGGTGAACAGGCATTTGTTGATGCCTCTCCAGGAATAGTCATGAAATGCACATGCCATGGGCCTTGGGCGAGTCTCTTAAGTTGAGTCTGGCTTTCAGTGGTTGGATCAACAGACTATCAGGGCGAAAGTGAAACACACCTCTTTAGATAGTTCGGTTATTCTTCATATTTATAAAACTTAATAATTGTTGGAATGAATATGTTGTATAATTTCACTGCTACTAAATTTCTACTTGTGAACCCATGAGGGATTCTGAACAGTTGTGGAAAGGCTCATACTGTTTCATACAACTTCATTATCAATTCCAGATATCCTAATCACTGATACTTTATCCTTTGTGTAATAACTATATTTAAATGCATAGCTACTCTACAATCACAATGTGGAGATTTAACAGCATTACATCTGGATTTTCTGTATTTAACTAATCTCTTTAAATATTCTTTTTATTAGGAGATCTAAGAATGGGCATGAGGAGCTGTTAAGATGTACATTGATGAACATTGCCTGGAGAGATGAGTTGAGACAGGGTAGGGAGCTTGTCCCTCACCTTCAGGAAAGGGATGTGGTGGCATGTGTGGAGGCTTTGATGCTATGGTTAGCTATGGGACCCCATTTGCATTATAAACCTGGGCCTAGGGCTCAGCTGTAAAATTCCACCCTGACCGAGCAGACAAACATAAGTAGCTAAAGAAGGAGCCAGAGCAAGCGTCCATGGTTGACTTCCCCTGCCCAGGCACTCTCATGCCATAAGGGGCAGAAGGATCTTAAGGCACAAATTTTCATGTCCTTGTTGGTGCATGCATATGCATGAGTGTGTGTGTGTGTGTGTGTGTGTGTGTGTGCGTGTGTGTAAGTGCAGGTGTGCGCATTCCATGGTGGGTGGTAGAGCTGAGAAGACAACCTTAGGCATTCAGCTTCACTTTCCCTTTTCCCCTTGTTCTAGAATATGGTCTTTCTTGTTCACTGCTGCATAGGCCAGGCCGGCTGGTCCAGGAGATCCTCCCCCTACCTCCTATCTCCTTATGTGTCCATCCAGGCTTATAGACACTCCTGGCTTTTTGTGGGCTAGAAGAATCTGAACTTGGGTCCTCTGGCTTCTGTAGCAAATGTTTTACCCACAGAGCCATTATCTACCCAGCCCCGAGGGGCAGGTTTCTGTCCATTTCCTCCTCTTCCCCCAGTGGAGGAACTTCTCTTGCTCTGAAAGCTATGGAGACTTGTATGGCTTTCAGTGAGACTCACACAATAGGAAACATGTTTTGTACTAAAAAAAAAAAAATCACACTGTGTTAGATGCTATCTTATAAAAAGTACTGGATCGTATGCCATTATTAAGCCATCACAGAAATCAGTATATAAGCTTTATCATATTAAACACACTAACATTTATAAAGCTGCCAGACAACAACTAGGATCTTTGCCAAGTGAGTCTCAAACCTGTGTAGGACATCGGTGACCCTCTGTGTGGAAGGATGCTAAATGTAATGTTGGGAAGTAGTGGAGACACAGTTGAAAGCAAGAGCAAAGAGACTGTGCAGAGAAACGTAGCTGGGAAGAGGCAGATTTTCATCTACTGGTGTCTCAGGATTTGTGACATCTCAAAATATCACTTTGTAGATAGGCATGCCTCTCACACACACTTTGTGACAGGCTCCATAAAGCAGATTTTAGCCTGGGAGATGGCTCAGCACTTGGTGCGTATATCTGAAGACAAAAATTCAGGTCCCCGGCACCCATATAAATGATGGGTAGGCATGGTAGACCACCCCTATTTCCATTGCTCAGGAAGTGGAGACAGAGTTTCCTAGGGATGGGCTGGCTAGTGGAACATGCTGAATCAGAGGGCTCTGGGTTCAAGTGAGAGACTCTGTCTCAATAAATGAAGTGGGGAGCAATTGAGGAAAATACTTGAGGTCAACTTTGAGCCTCCAAATATATTTGCACACATGTGTATCCTCATACACATGTGTGCCCCTATATAAGCAATCACATGTGCACACTACACATATACAGGCAAAAAATGAAACAGATTTCTTCCTAAGTGATGAAGAGTCACTGATATAAACATACTTCCACTCCATCCACAATCACTTTCTAAGTAGAAGGTAAGTCTTAATAACGAGTTAAACTGGCCATTAGTTCAAAATATATATATTAGGGTATTTAATAAACTTGATGAAGTATGTGACTCTCTTCATTTTTTTTTCTGTACCAGGGTTGAGCATATAATTTCATGATTGGTAGGGACAAACACCTTACTAAAGAGCTACAGTCCTAATCCTTTTTGCAAATACTTTTAGACAAGGTCTCACTAATTTGCTTAGCCTGACCTTGAACTCATGCTGTTGTGCCTTAGCTTCCCCTCCTAGGGATTACAGGCCTCTGCCATAAGGACTTACAGCTCTTTCATTGCAAACACAAATCATGTAAAATCAGCTTTTGAGTAGGAAACGAATGTTACTCTTTAAAATGTAAATGTGGCTCCTTGGATGGACCAGCTACCTAAAATATAACCAAAATTATAATTATAACCAAATTCAATTCTGTTAATATAAGGCTGTTGCTTACAGACTCAGGGACGAAAGGCAGTCCCCAGTAGTGATTACAGGCTAGATGAAATCACAGTGTCACTCAGGAATCGTCTTTACAAATGCAGAGTGAGACAAGTCCTCGCTTTCCTTTGTTAGATGGAAAAGCTGAGTATTCTCTACTTTGGAAAAAGTTAATTTTGTGCTCATGTAGGTGTGTGGGTACATCTGTGCTACTACCATGAGTCAAGGAACAGCTTGGAGGAGTCAACTGATGCTTTCAGTCTATTATGTGGGTCCCGGGGATAGAACTCAGATCATCAGAGCTTGGAGGCAAGGGCCTTACTCACTGAGCCATTTCCGCAGCTCGACCATTATCTACTCATTGAGCAGTTGTTGTGCAAATTCTATAGCCGTCCAAATTTACTAAAATCTAAGTTATCTTTAATAAGTGTTTTCTAGAAGGCACGGAATGGAGGATAAATGAACACAAGTCCTACCTGATTTTCAGGTAATCGGTGATGGCGTTGGCTTCTTTGACATCAAAGACGTGCGGCTCCTCATTCTTCCGTGAACGGTTAGGTCCGATCTCCGCCATCACTTCCCCAAGCCACTTGATGCTGTCCTCTAAGGACATGTGGAGTGCTGAAAACAAAGCCAGGGAAGCCTTTCTGTCATCTTGATAGCAGTTGTGGGGGGACAACAGTCCAAGATGTCCTAAATCTGCCCAAATTTCCCTTGCCCAGCGTTTGTGGAGAGAGAAGGTGAAGCCCTTGTTTCTTTATGACAAATTAATAATTGCTTTTTGCATGAATTCGTAGTGCTTGGTCTACCCATCATTATGATCATTTATGTGCGTGGTTGGCTGGACAGTTTTTGTTTCCATTTTCAAGAGCAAAACCACAAATATCTATTTAAGCACTACTTTTAAATGGAAAGGAAAATGTTAAAGCAGATTTTAAGGGAAAAAAGAAGGGAATATAAAAATTAGAGACGAGGTGGTGATGAGCCCCAGATCATGGGTTCAGCCACTGTTGACATCAGTACTGAACTGGGGTGGAGGAGGCCAGTGAGTAGAGTCCCCCTGTTTCTTGGCTATAACTAGGTGTTATCATGTGAAAACTTGGCTGGAAGATTTTTGATAGGAGTCAAATATATTGATATTTTCAAATTCATCATATTTATTTTTACATTTTATTAATTTAATCTCTCTCTGTGTATCACATGGTTTCTGTGTAGGTAAGAGTAAGATTTCAGAGAATTGGTTCTCTACTTGCACCTGTGGGTTGCCAAGGACTGAACTCCGGTCATCTGGCTTGGTGGCAGATGCCTTTACCTGCTGGGTCATCTCATTAACCCTTTAAATATCTATATTGAAAATAGGAATTTTTGTATAAAATATCACCATCACCAAAGAATTCAAAGCTATATGACCTGTTTGTCAAACATTTGCCTTTGAGAGACTGTCAAACCTGGATAGAAATGACACAACTTCCTCATCACGACCCACAATGAGCAGCTTGGTGGTTCTAGAAGATTCTCAGAAAGCTACATATAGACAACAACAAAACACACGTGCACACAACAAAGCAACATTTCTCCACAGGCTATGTCCTATGACACTTGTCCAGTTGAAAATGAAGCTTAAATATTCATAACTTCAGACTTAATTCTATGGTGTCTTTGGTGAAAACATACAGGTCTGTTGTCCTTTTTGATTGGTTGATTGTGTTTGGTTTTTCTTGTGGCAGGTAGAATAACATCTCTGTGCTCTCTCCCCTCCTGCCTTGGAGACTGAAGACAGGCAACTGGAATATCCAGAAAGTCTTTCCTGACACTGGTGGGTAGGAATGCACAGGGGTGGCACCGGTGGGTGGGCATGCACATGGGACAGAGGTGGCTGGAGGCAGAGTTGAAAGGTCTTGGACAAATGTGTCTGGGCCGGGTGTCAGGAGAGGTAATGCTCAGCTGCAGTGCCTGGCTGAGGGCTTGAGGGGATTCTTCACAAAGGCTGCAGTGCAGAGCTGAAGACCTCTTAGGAAGCCATCCGTAAAGATCCTACTTCCTGTACTAGCATGGAGTGTTGTAGGATGGGGATGGAGATAAAGATAAACTATGAGAATATAGACTGAGAGTTGGTTCTGCTACATCTAGAGTAGTGGAGTCAGGCACCTCTCACCTCTTCAGGAATGCACATTTGACACATGCACTGGATGTCAAAATCACTAATATATTTTTTAGTAAGACATTACAATCATCAGCTTATAATTACTTTGTTCAAATTTTCTATCTGTAGCAATTAGCAAGACATGGAAAGTAATTGAACCCCACTGAGCACTGCAGTGAATGTGCCTGTTGCTGGGGGCGGCGGGGAGCCCTTTAAAACGCAGTACCTGGAAAGGACTAGGGGTAGTTCTTATGCAGTCATGCCCTCCTACGGGTCATGGTTATCACGTGAGTTGCACAGAACTGCAGGGCAAGAGCCTTTTGTTTGTTGTCTCAGGTGAAACAAATACTAACTGTACATTTCTCTTTTCACAATAAACCTTAAAAATAACCCCACAATTGGAGGGAATTTGGGAAGAAAAGATGAGTATGATGAGAACAGCTCATAGTAAATTGAAAAATTGAACTCATTCATTGGAGATACTGAAAAGAAGTTTATTTAAGATGATTGATTTGAATTCTGGACGGAAGTATGGCTATCAAACACAGAATGCATCTGCCTATAAGGCTGTTGCTTGTGCCGACCGGTGGCTGACTCTCTAGAACTGTGCTTGTGGAGCCTCCTGCCTTACTGGAGATGACTGCTTTGAAAGCTACAGGTGTGACCCTTCCTCTCAGTTAACCAAAGTCCCGCAAGTGGCGTGACCGGACCGAGAGGGACTAAACCAAATTCACTCTGGGAAACTGAGGCGAGGAAGGAGACTCTAGATTTGTAACCAGTTAGAAAACTTGGGGTGGGGTCAGGAAAAGGCACTTGCTGGCTAGGTCACCGGTCTTGTCATTTTGTCTTTCGAAGAGAACTCCTGCATCCAAGATGCTGGTGCTAGTGTGGCAGGCAAATAGGAAATGCATAGGAGCCCCTGGACAGCCAGACTCTGTGTGTGTTCTTTTTTAGTTGATGATTCCTGCACCATTTCAGCATGTATCAGTTTGTATTCTACTATGAATGTGCTGTTTCCAAGGTATACTACGTTTTTCATCTAGTGTGCCTATACTATTTCTACTGAGAACCAGATTCAAGCGAATTCCACATGTGCTGTTTGTAATGTGTGGTGCTTTCTGGCCCTTTTCATATGTGCCCTTCCTAGCACGTACCCATTTCTGATCCTTAACATATGTGCCTTCCTAGTGTTTACCCGTATCCCTTTACACGTGCACCTTTTCTTTCATGGACCTGTTTCTAGTCCACTATATGTGAATGGCTCTATATACGTGCCGTTCTTAGCATGCATCATTTCTCATCTATCACATGTGCACTGGTTTCTAGCCTTCTACTGTGTGTCTATTGTATTGGTTTCTATTGTATTTTCTTTGTTGTTTACTCTAAGTTTTTCCCTGTGCCAGCCATGTGGGATGTGGCATCAGGACAGACCCTTGTTTGTTGAAGTTGACCTCTCATGTCAGGAACTAACCAAGTCCCTCAGAATCTTATTCCTCTCTCTCTCTCTCTCTCTCTCTCTCTCTCTCTCTCTCTCTCTCTCTCTCTCTCTAACACATAAATTATTTGCTGTGGTCTGTTTTTCGGGGAATGCTGACACAAAAAAAATCTAACTTGTTGAATAAATGTGACTTTTTTTTTTGCAGAAATATTTTCTGCCTTCAGCGGGTGCAAACCACAAAAGCAAAAGCATGCTCTTTAGATAAGTCTCCGAACTGTACTTTATATCTTTGAGATGATCCAGTGTGATTTGAGGTGGGCTCTCAGCAGAAAGGCTTGTAGACACGCAACACAGTTTTGGGGCAAGGATCAATTCAGAAACCCAGATGTCCAAAAGTGGATGTCCCATGGGCTGGGCTGCTTGACAACCATGAACCTGGGCTGTGCTCCGTGGCTGGAGCTATGGTGTAGGGTGGCACGATGACTTCATGTTCAGGACCTCATGGTCCCTGGGTTTAAATGTAAACATCCTTTACCTCCTTGCTGTGGAAACCAGCTGAAGCTGTCTGTGCTCTTGGTTCACAATCTAATTCCATCGAGCGTCCTGAGAGGGTATTGTTTTCTTACCAGATGTATACATGAGCTTGTCTGCTTCCCCCACATACATGTTCACTCTCTCCTGACTTAGCCGCATGGAGCCCGCCCACGGATCAGAAGTGCAGGTTCGAACTGATACCAACCAAACAAGGCTCCACTGGAGGCCACCTGGAGGCTGGGAGGTGTGGGAAAGGTGGAAAACGGAAACGTTCTCTCAAATTCGGGCTGTGAAACTCTTGAAAATGCTACCTTCTGCTCTCCTTCCATGGTGAACACTCTGCTCAGAAGCTGCAAAGGCTTAGGACAGCCACATCAAACATCCTTTGAAACTTCAATTTTGTAGGACTGATGTATTCAAGTTTTGCCTTATATGCAGATCTGGCCTGAAAAGGCTTCCTCCAGCCCCTGCTGCTCACACCCCAGTTTCCACATCCTCCCCAGAAAGGTTTTGTTTTTATTTTATTTTATTTTTAAATTTAAGACCCATTCTTACTGTGTGTTAGGTTCACTCTAGACTCCTCCCCTCCCCCCACCTCCCAGATCCCTAGCACTAGTATTCTAGTGTGTGCCTCCATGCCTGGCTTCACAGACCATTCATATTTTGTTTTTATCCTGTATTCTTCTGCTTTCCTGTATGCATATAAATAAAAACATACATTCTAGCTTTTATCTTTTATAAACAAAAGTCCATAGTTCTTCATGTTCTTTTTCTCTGCTAATATAGAGCCCTGTAATATACAGAGAGCTTTCTCATTTCCTCTTTAGAATACTATGTATTCTACTTTTAAGATAGATTAACTAATATTTGGGTCCCAGCATAGGTTCAGATATACAGAAAATTGCAAATATGTGAGAGTATCCTAAGATATTTGGAGTGTGATTGGTGCAGGGAATACTAATTAGAATCACTTTGGCGAATCAACAAAGAGAACCTTAGTCTTACTGAGAATTCTTTGAGGATTTACCATTCAGTGCGAAATGAGCTGTCCCTGTTGTATCCAGGAAACAAACCTCCAGTTCTTATTAAAGGAATCACAATGAGGCCCAGCATCTTGGCTTTTGAATATTAATTTACACAGACAGCGTTTCTTCCCCTTAAAACGACAGAGAGGGACTGGACTTACTTTGAAGATTGTGTAGTAACATGTCCAGCAAAGTCATGAATTTTGAATATTGGTCAATGGAAAAGTCCATTCCTTTGGCCCAAAAGAACCCGGACACGTAGTAGTCTAGGAGAATGGCATCTCTTAAACAAGTCTGGAGATTTTTAAAATTCAGAAATACACTCATTTTTCTGTAACGAAAAGGAAAAATGCAGACATTAGATGGGGTTAAGTACTGAACAGTTCTGAGGAGTTTTGAAAGTAACTAGTTTAATGAAAATTCTGGACTGCTTCTCACCTTAAAGTATTCAGTCACATCAGAGTCCACAGGTGAAAGGGGAAGGGGAGGAGTGGAGGGAGGAGAAGAAGGGCAGGGGGTGGGTGGGAGGGTGGGTGGGTGCTCTCCCCCATCTCCATTCTCTTTTTTCTCTGTCTCCACTTCTTATACCTTCATTTTTTTCCTCCCAAAATTCTAAATGCAATACCCCTTTCTTTTTTTGTATGGCAGTACCTCATGCTCAGGCTAGACTGAAACTTGCTATGCAGCAAAGATGACCTTGAGCTCCTGATTCCCCTACCTCAGTCCCATTGCTATTGCTGGGATTAGAGACAGGCATGCCAAGTGGGTGCCCTTTCTACCAATTTGGTTGCCTCATTTCTAGCCAGGACCTTGCTGCTACCAATCAACCTGCTGATTAAGTTTGATCCATTTCTGAAAACAGATGGTTAAATATTCTGTCCTTTTCTCTCTGCAAAGACGACAACCTGGGTATGTTTCATTGGCTTTCTGTCAGGTACATTTAATTTTTTTTCAAACTTCTTCCTTTCCCTGAGTCTGTTTCTTATTCCTTCTTCTCTCTCAGGATGGGGTAAGCAGTGACTCCTTCCCTGAGCTGCTGTTAGACCTTTCTTTTTCTACACTTTTCTTCTGATGCTTCTCACCCTTTCTTTCCCATCATCATCCCTTCCTCCAGCTCTTCTAAGTCTGTTCTGTGCTGCTATTGCTCTGTAAGTTTTAAAAAATCTGTGAGACAACATTTGCCTGTGTCTTTTGTGTGTCCCTGCTCACATCTTTCTGGTGGTGCCTTTGTCCTGTTCCTGTCCTGTTCTCTGTCACTCTCTCCGCAGACATAGTGCTCACATGTTAGTTATCTTTGAACAGTTGCTTGCGGGAAATGAACTGGGTGTGGAGACCTGCCTAGAACATACACTATTAGATGCTTCCTGGGTCCTTAGATCAACTAGTAGATACTTCCTGTGCCGTGATGAAAAACTGGTTGGTGCTTCCTATGTCCCGATAACCAACTCATAGGCATTTCCTGTGCGGAGTTACTTTCTGTCAATTCTTTTAACATTCATTTCTGTTTTGATTAGTAAGGTTACAAAAAGGAAAAATAGAGACTCATTTTACTGCGATATCAAAGGTCTGTAATACAGTTATGTGCATCCTGTTCCTGCACACCCAGGTCCTACGCTACAAATGGGGACTCATGGCATAGCATCTAGGGTGTTCTCCTCCAGGAAGTGTCCTGTACCTTTCCTTCCTCCTAAATCCCATAGCTGTGTGTGTCTCTCCCTCAAACTGTCTCCTGCATATCAGTCGATCTGTGATAATTGTGGGGATCACCTCCAAAGCTCATGCTTTGGGCCTTCAGCATTCTCTGGTTTTGACAAAGGTGTGACTGATCTTCCCTGTTGCTTATATGTGCTTTCTTGGGACGAGTTGGGAGATGGCATGTGTGGCAAGCTCACTCCACCATCTTCAAAAGGGGAGCCCTTGTCCTTCACCACATTCAAACGAGTGATAATGAAAACCAGTTAAGATGTTCAAGTGGTTTTTGACATGTGTCCAACAGTCAACGTCCACCTCAAAGGCAACCCTATCAGGAGAAACCACAAACCCTACATGAGGGCTGATGATTTTTTTTTTTTCGAGACAGGGTTTCTCTGTGTAGTTTTGTGCCTGTCCTGGATCTCGCTCTGTAAACCAGGCTGGCTTCGAACTCACAGAGATCCGCCTGCTTCTGCCTCCCGAGTGCTGGGATTAAAGGCACGCACCACCGCCGCCTGGCTGGTCTGATGGTTTTTAAGCAACCATTTCATCTCCCTTCCCTTCTCACCATGGCGCACGATGCTGTCAAGCCTGTGAAATTGGTCTAAGTGAAGGGCTTTTCTGTAGGCGCCTTATTACTTTATTAATTCACAAGGACAAGTTAGCGTTTCCTCCATTGGACAAAAGCCAAACAACAACAACAAAAAATAAATAGTTTTGATTGCTACTGGCAACCATCTTGTAATCTTTATCTAAAATGTCACATACCAGGAGACTTAGAGGCAGGTTGGCTTCATAATATTGAGTTTGATAGTGACTATATATATATATATATATATATATATATATATATATATATCATACCTGTTCATATATATTTACAGTGTGCATACATACAGTATTTATGTATCTGCATCCATTTGAAAATTTCCAATGTGTTAGTATGTATGTGTGTAGAGGCCAGAGGACAACCTGCCAGCTTGCCCTGGGATCCACCGTCCGCCTCCCAGTGCTGGGATTACAGGCAACCACCATGACTGCCCAGCTTTAGCATGGTTGCTGGGTCTCCTAATTCCAGTCACCATGCCTGCAAGGTGAGTTCTTGGTCCACTTAGCTATCTCCCCAATCCTACTGGCTGCTGCTTTTATAAATGGTTTTCTAAGAACTTTTTGTGTAATGAGAAGTATTGACCCTTTATATTTGGGATACGGTTTTACCGCATCCTGAAATTCAATTTTATTTTTGTGAAAGGAAGAAATTGGGTTACTCCCCCCACATGCACATACTTTTTTTTTTTACCAGAATGTTCTAGAATAGTTGTTCTAGTTTATAATTATACTGTTTGCCTTTATTTTAATTTCAAATGAATCTTGTGCTTACTGCCAGTTTTTTTTTTATTTTATTATTTTTGTTTTCTAGATCACAGTTCTCTTTGGCAGTTTTCTTGTTATTGTTACATTAGATGCATCAATGAATTGATTAATCTTTCCTGAGGTAATGGGTCAATCTTTCAATTAAACCACAGGACACTGAGGGGTTTTTTTTTTTGAGTTCTTTATATAAAAATGTCCTAAACAATTCCAGCTAGAATTTGATCCTGAAACTACATTCTTTCTATGAACCAGATTTTAATGGCTTGGCTGTTCCTCAGAGAGCTGCTGTCCATTCCTGACAGGGAACTGTGAGAGGCCTGCCTGCTCATTGTCCCTGGGTCACTTTACACTGGACATAATGAAATGCTTGAGGTTTCAGGCCACTGAAACAGGAAAAATCTAAGCATGTGTTACATGCAGTTTCGTTCTTTTCTGGTTCATTATGTTAGATGTGAAGCCCAACACCCTCCCATCCTGTCACTACACATGCACCGTTATGAGTCTCCACACATTTATCTTCTGTTGTCACTGACTTCATTTTCAGCAAAGCAGATTCCACATTAGCTTAATTCTTTATGCTTAGAATCTTCTTTTAGCTCAAAGAGTTCCTTTATGTACATATCTTACCAGCTCTTTAATCCCTTGGTTTGCGGAGTTGATTTAGCCTTTAATCATGAGCTTTGGGGTAGCGTTTCTCTCACTTCTGTTGATTTTTCTTTAATCTTTCCCTTCCTCTGCCATCTGCACTCTCTGTATTCTTAAGTAAATATTTTACCTGAATACCTGTACATGGTATTTGTTTTTTATTTTTGTTTTTTCAACGCTTACGTTTGAATGAACTCAACAACTTTCTCAAGCATATTTTGTTGAGGGATCCTCAACCTCCCTGCACCCCAGCTTTGACGGGCACCTTCCCTCCCTCCCTTCCCCTGGGACCAGTGGACTCTCGCCCTTGACTGACCCCCAGGGCTTAGTATTGATGGTTTCTGTTCTTCCCCCAGTCATTTTACTCCAAAGGAGGTGTTACAGGGAATCATTCAGAGCAAGACAGGGCCCCAGCTGGAACACAGTTTCAGTTTGGTCATAAAGAAGGATGGCACAAGACAGAGAGAGAGAGCGCCACAGCTGTAGCATGGGCTGATGCACATGAAGGGAAAGGAACTTGGTGGCATCTCAGGACATTGTGACATGGCATGGAACTGTTGACTCCCCGGGGAGGCCTTACCCTTTCTGAGGAGTGGATGGGAGTGGGTTGGAGAGCAGGGGGATGGGAGGGAGGGGGAACTGTAGTTGGTAGATAAAATGAATTAAAAAATTAACTAATAAAAAAGAAAATAATAAAAAAGAGCGTCAGCAGAACTGTCTCGTCCTTCCCTTCATGCTCTAGATCTTGGGATGCCTTCCCCTTCTGAAGTGCCTCAGCATGCAGAAACTAACTCTGCAGACCAGGTAAAGAGCTCGCAGAGGTTTGCCTACAGAAGGTTATTAGAAGCCATCTTGACAGACCTGGTGTGGGGCACAACTCAAAGCCCAGCACTTGAGAAGCTAAGGCAGGGGTGTTCCCTTGAGCTTGAGGCCAGCCTGAATGACAAGAGTCAGACTCAGTTTCCAAAAGCACAATCAAACAAAAACCAAGGCTCAGTGTTGATGTCTGTGTTTATAAAGTTCTTTGTAGCTAGCCTATACCATTTTTTTCAAGATTTATTTTTTTTTTCATTTTTACTTTATTTGTATGGGTGTTTTGCTTGCATGTATGTCTGGGCACTATTTGTATGTCTGGTGCCTGAGGGAGGCTGGAAGATGGCGTCCCATCCCCTGGAACTAGAGTTACAAATGGTTGTTGGCTGCCATGTGGGTGATGGGATTCAAACCCAGGTCCTCTGCAAAAGCAGCCAGTGTTCATAACCACTGAGCCATTTCTGCAGACTTCTCTTGTCTTTTTAAAATGAAATTCTGGGGTAGATTTGTAAGTACTGCTGAGTTGCATATACATAAAATATTATTGATAGCATACATTAGAAAGTCATGAAAAGAACACCAGGCATGTGGAATCTATTTCAAAATGTATTTTGAATAATCCCTCATGTTTCTTAGATTGCCTGTTGGTCTAGAGGAAAAAAATTCATAATTGTGAGATGTAGGGAAATATGATGATTTGTTGTAATTTATTTAAGTAGGTTTATAGCTCTTCAAACTGCATGATCTGGGACTATTTTGGTCACTCGGGAGAGGATAATTAAATTATACTACTGTCTTTTTGAAAAATATATAACCATCACTTACAATAATGCTGTTTTAAATTGAAAATGATTGCAAATACATGTAGATTATTGTTACAGGAATTATATTTTAAAACACAGGAAAATGTCAAGAAGATGGCTCCTAAAATAATAACGCTGTCCCACTGTCCTAAAATTCGACATGGGATCCCTTCCTGTGGTCATTCGGATCGCTGAAGGCGTCAACCTGCTTTTGACACAGCTGTTTTACCTACTTCCTCTGTGGCTACGTTTTGTTTTGTGCTCTGTTGTTTCTTTTTGTGTCGTTGTGTGTGGCCAGGTAGCCCTGGCTCTTCTGGGTGTGCTTTGGAAGGCAGGCTGGCTGTGAACTGGTGGCGAGCCTACGCTCATGTCCCTGGCTGTGGTACTTCGCCCAGTCAGTCTCTGATGGCTGTTGATGCCAGCTGCATCCTGTGCTTTGGTCCACATGTGCCCTCCCGATGCTTAAGAGTATTTTCTGAATTTGAATATTTAATAACAAAGGACAGTCAGTAATTAAAAAAACAATGTGTTCTATAAGGTAGAGTACACAACTAATGATATAGTAAAAATGCACGATTCTAGAAACTAATATGTTATTTGATATTAATGACTATTAAATACTAGATGTTTGGTATTTTTAATGTTGACATTTTCCTTACTAATCATTACAAGTCAATTGGAAGTGGGATTAAGTATCTGTCACTTTACTGTATTGCTCTCACTTAGTCCTGACTATTGCTTTGCATGGCAAAGATCATTTTCATATAGGGACCTACAAATTGGAAAAGCATTTTACGTAAAAATCACTATGTATATTATCAATACTATGCATGACTATTTTAAATTAATTATTAAAATCGTGTAGATTTATTTGTTTACTCTTTGTGTGTATGGTTGGGGGGGGGTGCCTCTACACTGTAGCATGTGTACAGAGGACAGAAAACAACTTACCGGGGTTCATTCTACTGTGTAGGTCAGGGCTCAAACTCAGGCATTGGGATTCATCTGTGTCACACATATTTTTTCCCTTCAATCCTTACACTAAGAATCAGAACTCCCAATAAATATTTATTTCTGTAGAGACGGTAAAAAGCGTTATGAGAAATCATTTGAAACGGGTGGGACTTTTTAATTCTCTGACTCTCAGGAAGCTGCGGACAGCAGACAGTTGGGCCCAGTCACTGCCTTCACTTCCTAGCAGACTCCGCAAGCACTGGAGGTGAGGTGTATCTTGGGAAAAAGCTGTCAGTGTTACTTGTGGGCTCCTGGTGAGCCTTCGCAGATTCCTCTCCCATCCAGGACATCTGTCATACCTCTTTCTCGGGAGTAAATCACTTCAATGCCATAGCACTTGTAAGCTCTGTCTGTGGTCACCACTGACAGAGTCATTGTCTGTGTGTTCATTATGGTCTGTGCCATCTTGCCTGTGTCCTGAGTACTGGCTTTCAAAGACCAGACTTCATGGCTCGGGTCCTCGAACCACATCAGCCCAGTGCTACTCTCCATAGCCAAGCAGGTTTCCACGTCAAGGTGGGATAACTTGTTTTAAATTGTGGGTGATGGCTAAAACTTCAAGGGATTCGTTTTTTGTTAACTCTCTCTCTCTCTCTCTCTCTCTCTCTCTCTCTCTCTCTCTCTCTCTCTCTCTCTCTCTCTCTCTGTGTGTGTGTGTGTGTGTGTATGTGTGGCTGTCTGTCTGTCTGTCAGTCTGTCTATGTGGAGGTTATGTGCAAGTGAGTCAGGTGCTCACAGGGGCCAGAAAGAACATTGTATCCTCTGGAGCTAGAGTTGTAGGCAGTTAGCTGTAAACATCCCCCTGTGGGTGCATGGAACAGAACTCGGGGCCTCCAGGAGAGCAGTATGTGTTCTTAGCCATTAGGCAGCATTTGTAGCCACTAGTGGACATCTTTAAGGAAACCATGTTGACTGACCCAGCTGGCTAGTATTCTAAATAAATGACATGCCCTAGTACTCTATACCCATGACAGCACGACGTTAGTATTATTGTGACAAATTCAGTCTTTCCTATAATTTAAAACAACACATGTCATAAGGGTCTAGAGTTTAGCATTGTCTTTTTTTTATATAAATATCACTGGTAAATGGCTCATATGCAGAATTTTCAAAATCATAACTGTGCTGAACAGTTTCATGTCAACTTGACACAAGCTAAAGTCATCTTAGAAGGGGGAACCTTAATTAAGAAAATGCTTCCATATTATTGGGCTGCAGGCATGTCTATGGGGAATATTCTTAAAATTATTGATGGAGGAGGGCCCAGTCCATGGTAGGTGGGGCCACCCCTGGGCTGGTTTCCCTGGGTTCTATAAGAAAGCAGGCTGAGCAAGCCATGGTGAGCAAGCCAGTAAACAGCACTCCTCATGGCTCTGCATCAGCTTCTGCCTCCAGGTTCCTGCCCTGTGTGAGTTCCTGTCCTGACTTCCTTTAATGATGAACAGTGCTGTGGAAGTGTGAGCCAAAGAAACACTTTCCTCCCCAACTTGCTTTCAGCTTGTCATCATGGTGGGTTTTTTTCTTTCTTTCTTTTTTCTTTGGTTTTTAGAGACAAAGTTTCTCTGTGTAACAGCCCTGGCTGTCCTGCAACTCGATTTGTAGACTAGGCTGGCCTCGAACTCACAAAGATTCACCTGTCCCTGCCTGTGAGTGTTGGGGTTAAAGGTGTGTGCCACCACCACCTGGCTTCATCATGGTGTTTGATCACAGCCATAGTAACTCAAACGAAGACAAGAATCTAATTGACTATGAATGTTGTTAACATATTTGTTATATTATATTAATATAATTAATGTTACACAAGGTTGTCTTTTGGATTACTGGACATGTTGACAGCTTCGTGAATGGAAGAGAAGAGACACAGAAAGGACACAGGGCAGACATAGGTGGCTCTTGTTCAACATTAGCAGCTCGAGTCCCAATGCATGTCACTCACCAGGAAAGGTTGCTGAGCTGAGCAAAGAGTCAATGCTCTTTGCATTTGTGCTCGTGTGTGTGTGTGTGTGTGTGTGTGTGTGTGTGTGCATGTGTGTGTGTGTGTGCATGTGTGTGTGTGTGTGCATGTGTGTGTGTATTCCCAATACTTGACATATTTTAGTGAACACTATACTAACACATAGTTTGACATAAAAGCTTAAAATGTGTAAATAATGCACCATGATCACTTTGCAATAAAGGCCTAGAACTGATCTCATCTTGACTGAGATTGTGGATTACTTACTCTTGAATTCCATCCACATCTGGTTCTTCCAGCAGGTCAGTGATCTGGTCAACTGAGAGAAAATCCGAAGACAGAATCTTTTCATTCTCCTGGAATTCAGTATTTTTCTGTTAAAAACAAAACAGAATGAGTCATCTGCATCTTATATTTTGTGTATTAACTCTAATGATACAAAACCCTTAGTCGTTTTTCTTTTCTGTTGTTATGTAGCTAAGAAGTCACACAGGTAGACGGTCTATCCCTGGGCATGCGCAGAACTCAGGGCTGCTTTACAACTCAGCAAACCCTGACTGTCTACACACTGCCCCTTGAATGGCAGGCTCAAGAGAGGTAAATGCAAGGAGAGACTCGTTCACCCCATGGAGCTGAACGGCGAGTCCTTAATGTACTCTCATCCTAGATTAAAAGCGCAGCATTAGTATAACAATCTAATATTGTGTTATAAACACCGAACTGATAACGATTGTGTTAGCTTTGGAATTCTCCATGAGAGAGCGGCGGGGCCGGGGCGGGGCTCAGTGGGTGAGGTGCTGTGTAGTAAAGGTGAGTACAACATGAGCGGATGCGGTTGAGACAGGAGTGGCGATGGAGGGGAGCAGAGCACATTGCATGCATTATGAAATTCTCCAACAACAAAAATGGAATACTTCAAAAACAAAAGGCACACAACACATGAGCTGGAATAAGTGGGGCATTCAGTCTCTAAGCAAAGACAAGGACAGGGATGTGAATGGAAGGAGTCCGTGAGTGGCCTTTCAGGACCAGCCTAACCAGGGCCCTGGGTGAGCAATTGCCAGCAGTGCCCAGGATGGGCGCCAGGAATGAGATGGAGTCGGGCGGGCTGTGTGCACCGCGGCATGTCGTGGGAGGTCCCGAACTGAAGAAGACAATAAATAACCTCCTGAAAGCTCACAAGGTAGAACTACTGTGTGCAGAATCACAGACGTTTTAGACCCTGGCCAGTGGAGGAAGAGCAAGCTATGGAGTTTTCTGTCACCAGTACAGGCGATGGGGATGCATGAAGTTTCTGAGTAGCTAAGTGGCAGGATATAGCTGTAAGCTATGGCAGATGAAGGAAAATGGGGAACATGAAGTGATGTGGGGGAAGGGACGAAAGAAATCAGACTCTCAAAACACAGTTTTGATGAAGAGTTGGGAGTCTCAGGAACAGGTGACTCAGGGCCTTTCACAATGACACACTCCCTCTTTCAACAGTAGACTTGACAGAGGAGTGTGCAGAGCAAGGTGCAGATATTTAGACGTTAGCAACGGCAGAGTCGGGAAGGTCAAGTTTCAAGATGCTGGTTAATGGATGAGATTGTCCCAGTCCACAGTTGGAAGAGAAAGGTTGTGACTCAAGATGGAAGAGGGGATGAGACGGAGTTACCTGCAGAGCCTGAAGCCTGTTGGGAATGGGGGGCACAGGGGCCTTTGATTCACCAAACCGAGACTGAGCTATTCCCATGATGGGATCGGAAAAGTAAGAGGACTACAGCCAATATCCAAGGACAATTACCATGTCCTTTCCTCTTCTCTCAAGATAGCCTGGAGCCCGCTATAGAGGAGGATGACTTTGAATTTCTGACCCTCTGCTTCTGTTGCCTAATGCTGGCATTACAAGGGTGCACCACCAATGGCTAGTTTATGGGGTGCTGGAGATCAAGTCCAGGCCTTCCTGCCTATTACACAGCACCTCACTCACTGAGCTACAGCACCAGCCCACTGCCTCCTAATGGCAAGTGTCAAAGCTAACACAATCGCCATTGGTTCATATAACCTAATATTAGATTGGTGCTGCACTGTTAATATAGGATGAGTAAATTAAACACTACTAGGTCATATGATTGATTGGATCTGACTTTTAGCATCTAGTATGATATATTTTGCACATGCTGACCTCTCAGATACTTCTAAACTCATTCACATGGATGAGTTTTTGTAGAAGACAGTATTTTAGTCAGACACATGGTGTTAATGTTTGCTTATGTGTGTTTTGACTACACACATCCTTTATTAGCACTAAATTCTCTTAGGTTCTGAGACACGCTCCTGTCTTCCTTTCTGTTTGGAATTTGCAAACCCTGCTGAGTCCACATGGGTTAGTAAGGGACTGCTGAGTTTCATCTTCATCCCATGATGGTGTGGTTGCTCGAAGAGAGTTGAAGAACTGGGAATTTAGGGGAATTGCTGATAAAGTCATGGTTGGACTGCTGATTAATTTTATGACTTAGGCCAACTTGTTTGGTCTCAAATTTGGATTCAGATTTAAAAAAATCATTTTCTGTGTTTGAATACTCACAGGACTGCCACGATGAGTCAGAGCAAGAAAGAAGTACATGAAAAGTGAGTGATACCGACATAAAGATCAATTTACTTGACGAGAAAATTTCTGGATAGGAAAAAAATTAGGTCACACAGAACTATATGAAAGTGAATCCAATAATATCAATGCTTTGACAGTCAGAGCTCTAGCAATGATGCCCGATATCAATGCCACTGTTTTGAATAAAATTTGGGAGTTTAAGATAGTCATCACTCAGCAGAGTTTGCCTCTTTTATTGGTATTAGTGTTAGGAATAGCAGCATTAAAAAATACTTATTTCTGCACCTATTTTAAATGAAGCCTCCTTTTTTTTCCCTCCTTTCTTTTTGCTTTTTTTCTCTGTGCTGCCTTGCACTAGAAAGAGTATTAGGTGATTAAAAACCTCTGGTCTTTCAGGGCATACACTCTGATCTCTACAGCCTACAGATCCAACGGCCACTCATAAACAGGCTAAAATTGCTCACTTGTTTCTGTGGCTCTCTGTGTCGTCCTGTCTCCAGCTTGGCAGCTCCGCAATGCTGGGAACTCACTTTATCCCACCTCCTGCTGGATTTTAGTATCTATTCCACAAGCAGCCTTATAAGCCTCCTATTATTTACCAGATAATCTTTTGCCTGATTTCTCTTCCTCCAATGTCATCTGAACACTCCACACTTGTAAACATGTCTTCTTCCTAGAACACGGGCTTTTAGGAACATGTCTGTACCCATTGCTGGTAGTGCTTCGTAAAGGAGAGCCTCTAAAAAGCTTCATTAAAGGAAAGACAACCCATTTATTGGATTTGGAAAGAGGGCTTTCCCAGTCAGAAGAAACACAAGCTTGTCCACAAAAGCCAGATTTTGAAAGTTTTCCCCCTCAAGCCTAAAAATAAATGAACTTAGGAGCAGTGTTGTATTAAACCATATCAGAGTCTGAGGCAAAAGGAAAATCAGGAATATTGACGCTCTCTTTATTTTAGAATCTGATTCATCCCAACATTTCTTACACCAGCTTTGATTTTTATCAGCGTGGTCCATTGAAGCATTACCTGCGTGGATCGACAAGGTAGTGGCACATTTTAGATGCTGAGCTGGACAGGGGCCTCCCAACTCCCTCATCATGATCTTCCTACAGGGCTCAGAAACCAATTATTTTTTAAAAGAAAGTAAGTAATTAAAGGAACCAAAAACAAGTGAAATAAAGAGTTAGCTATTCAAAAATATGGGTAAAAAGGTAACTCTCTGGTAAGTATGATTAAAGAATAAAGGAAGCAAAAGGCTGCCACAGCGGGTGGCAGAACATTAGAAAATACAAGGGAACGGGTGATTTCCTAGGAAAATATAAATTGTTAGAACTTAGCAGGGATAAAGGGGAAAATTGATCAGAACAAACATGTGGTATTATCCTTGAAATTCTACATATAATTAAAATCTAGGCTATTTAGAGTTCAGGTTCTTTTTTTTTGTTTTGTTTTGTTTTTTGTTTGTTTTTTGCTGGACACTGGTGGCACACACCTTTAATCCTAGCACTTTTGTGGCAGTGGCAGGTGGATCTCTACGAGTTCTAGACCAGACTGGACTACAGAATGTATTTCAGGACAGCCAGAGGTGCTACCCAGAGAAACCCTGTGTTGAAAAACCACCCCCCAAACAAAGAAAAAAGAAAAAAAAGTTTAGTTTTTTTTTTTTTAAAGCTGCACATCTAAAATGTACATAGAGGAACACAAAGAGAACAAGAGAATGTAAAAACCCAAATCACTAATGAATTCAGACTCTGGCCCGAGTTAAAAATAGATCTCTAAAACACAAACCCCACTGTGATTAAAGGATAATAGCCCGTCACCCAGACCGCTAGGAGAGGGAACTTAAGTTTATGTTGAATTCAACACGCATTCTGTGACTGTTATGTAAATACCGAGCAGGTACTTTCTAAACTCAGCAGCAAAACTCTTGGTAAGTATAAATGGAAAAAGAAAACTGAGCTAGACTAACAGACACCATCGTAACAAGTGGTGGGTAGTGGTCAATGGTATAGAAACAAGAGGAGATGCGGCCCTGACCAGCAACCTTACTGTAATTCAACGTTAGAGTTACTCTCCTCTATAATGGTTAGAAGATAAGAAAATGAAATATGCAGCTTATGCATGAGACACAAATGAACAAAAAGGCCTTTATTTGAAGATTACATCATAGTGTCCTTAAGAAGGCGGACATTGTACTAACGCTCAGCTAAGAAACCAGCTAAAACAGTTATACATCACATAAATACACAAAGCTAGTTTCTTTTCTCTATTTGAGAAACTAATTAGAAATGGAAATGTCCCAAAACTTGATTACATTATACTTTGTTCTGACTATAATAAAGGCATAAGAATCCTAACAAAATTTCTAAAACTTTGTTGGAACTTGAAGGATATGAATTGATAAATTAGAAACTCCTTCAAATTCAAGAAATTACATTCCTCTCACACAATAAATGTAATGCAGAGACAATTTCTGAACCCCAGTGAGATTTTCCTAGAACGTTGTAGGTTTTAAATTCTTAGGGGAAGACACTGACATTTGGAAGAAGTTAAGATGGTGAACAGATCTTTCCAAACTAGATGTAAAAGCAGAATATAAAAATGGTATAACATCGATGAAAATTGGACAGACGAAGAGCTGGGGAGACGGGTAAAGTGTCTGCCACGTAGTCACAAGGACCTAAGGTTAGGTCCCCAAAGCACACATGAAAAGTCAGGTGCTTTAATAATCCCAGTGGCTGAGACAGACAGACAGATTCCTGGAGCTCCACAGCCAGTTAGTCTAGAGCAGCAGTTCTCAGCCTGGGAGTCGCGACCCCTTTGCCAAACCTCTATCTCCAAAATTATTTACATTACGATTCATAGCAGTAGCAAAATTACAGTGATGAAGTAGCAACAAAAATAATTTTATGGTTGGGGGTCAGCACAGCATAAGAAACTGTATGTATTAAAAGGGTCGCAGCGTTAGGAAGGTTGAGAACCACTGGTCTTGAGGAATTGGTGAGATCCACATCACAATAAGAGACCCTGTCTTACAAACTAACTTATGGAATGATACTGAAAATGCAGAAACTTGAACGTTTGCTATGTAAGTTGAGCCCAAGTTTTCTGACATGTTAGAGGACCACCTGGTGTGGATGGAGTCTGTCTACAGATTCCCACTGGACATGTTGATGGCCTCTAAGACCAACACCAGCATCTTCCCTTGTAAGATAATGTCTGTATTCTAGTAAATTCCCAGAGGCAGTGGGTTCACAGCCCATCTGGAACACTTTAAGAATCATGTTCAGAGCTGACCTTAGTGCACGCCTTTAGTCCCAGAAGGCAGAGGGAGGTGGATCTCTGTGAGTTCGAGGTCAGCCTAGTCTACAGAGGTAGTTCCAGGACAGGCAGGATTATTACACAGGGAAACCCTGTCTCGAAAAGTTAAAAAAGAAGAAGAAGAAGAAGAAGAAGAAGAAGAAGAAGAAGAAGAAGAAGAAGAAGAAGAAGAAGAAGAAGAAGAAGAAGAAGATGAAGAAGAA